GGGATAGAGAGACGTGGAGAAAAAGCGGAAGAGAGAAAGAAAAGAAGAGAGAGAGAGAGAGAGTGTGTGTGTGCGTGCGTGCGTGCGTGCGTGTGTGTGTGTCTGTGCGCGCGCGTACGTGCGTGCGTGTGTGTGTGTGACATAAAGACAACGAAATGCTAGATGAAAACTAGTTATTTCAGTTGATATTGATTGGATCACTATCCCGTCTCCGTCTGCCCCGACTCATGCTGTTAGCGTGTGAGATATTTGTGGTCATACTTGTGCGTTAATTGCTTGCGTAACTGTAGACATGCAACCACGTTTATAACTAAGCCTACGCAATCGCCGGAATTTCCCCGTTGCCAAGATATTATACTAACTTATTCGTATTGTGTAAACTACGTAATATGGTACCCCTCCACCTGCACCCCCCACACACACACACTACAGTCTCTTTCGCCACACCGGTACGGTTGAGTGTCTATATTGCAGGTTTAGAATGAAAACATTCGGTGGAGAGCACGTCGATCTGAAACGCGATTGAATTTCGAATTCGGTGCTCGCTCAGGAATGCTGTTTCGGTGTGAGAACCCGGATCGTGTTGTCTGATATGGATCCGAAGCGTAAACGGTCGCAAAAGTCGCAGACGAGAACTGAAGACGCGAAGATGAATGCATATGCGAGCGCCTGCGGTTGGCATGGTGACGGAAGAGAGACGCAGATTCGGTTTATGTCGACGTCATAACATAGATCAGGTGGTGCCGAATGCACGTCTGCTGTCCATCAAACCGTCCGTACTTCCCTATCATATGTGCATTCGTCCGTCAATGCAGAATATAACGCCATAATGCCGCCTATCTCCCTCAGTCTGTAGATATATACTCGACGTACACACGGCACATACTCACATATGCAGTACACTTGAGTTTTGACAATTTGATTTATGATGAGTAGAATTATAGTTGAAAGAAATTTATATTTAAAAAAATTTTAAATGAATTTTCGTAACCCATACTACTTTCGTGTGTGACGAGTGATTCGTGTATATTTAACTCCTTTTTTGCATAATTTATCACGTCGCGAATACATATTCTATTGAATAATTACTGTATATGTTTTTTGTACAATTAGGTAAGAATTGTGTTGATGTGGATATATTTATTTATTTTCATCTGCCAACAATCATCGTGTTATCATGTATATATGATGTAGGTATTAAAAATCGTTATAACTAAACTAGCGTGTATATTCTTTGTGCGCGAAAGCATTAGCATATACGTCTTCATTTCAATTTAATGTCGTTCGAACGTAGTACTCGCTGAATGTGATAGTGAAATGTTTACACAGTTTCACTTTGCCTCGAGTAACGGTCGTGTCTGTTTTCTCATATATGATTAAATACTTGCGGGATATCATAGGAGCGTATAGCACGCCGTAGCGTAGCTCTAGAAATTAATATAGCCATTCGCTCCAGCTGTGGCGGAGCGAAGGTAGAGCGAAGGGCAATGGCAATAGTTCTAGAGCTAGCCGTAGTGTAGATACAGGAATAGATCATAAACAGATAACATCCAACTGCATACTTGGACAGATGCCATAAACTGATGGTACTACACAAATCTCATGTGTTAATAAGAAACAAGCGCAACTTCGTCTACCTTATACATGCATTTATTTCTACACCACACGGGGCACATTTAATCACATTCCATTCTCTCCCTCATCCTCATCTCCTATATATATATATTATATATATATATATATATTTATATTTATATATCAAAATCAAAAATGTGCGCGAATACGAAAAGCGATATATCACCATTAGATTTATACAATTGACTGACTGACTGCATTTATACACTATTATTGCGCCCTGCACCCCCCACCCATGTGTTAAAGTGATCGCAAAGCTGTTGGTACATGAAATTCGGTGGAATCGCAGTTCTCACCGTCACCGTCACCGTCACATTAGATCTCTCACAACACTTCGTTGACACACAATTACGTTGGCCGATCTTCTGATCGATTCATCGGATGTCGTCGCGAGGGCAATTGATTTTACGACGGATCCACGTAATTAACCGTTTAATTGATTTTTTCTTCGTCACGCTCAAGCAACGCGAGTTCCGGTTCGCGAGGACGGCTAGACCGGATGTCGATACGGCGTTATTATCAGGTTGAGAACAAGTGAATTCAGCGAATAAAATAGATTGGCGACGTTGCGTGAGAATATGCTTATAGAAACGACAAATTAACTCAAAACGCTCAGACGAAGACAAATGTAAGGGTAGCATAGAACGACCACAGCGCGATGACGTCAAGCGTAGAACCGCATAGAACGACCACAGCGCGATAACGTCAAGCGTAGAACCGCATAGAACGACCACAGCGCGATGACGTCAAGCGTAGAACCGCATAGAACGACCACAGCGCGATGACGTCAAGCGTAGAATCGCATAGAACGACCACAGCGCGATGACGTCAAGCGTAGAACCGCATAGAACGACCACAGCGCGAT